CGAATCACGTCAAATCACTTCCGTTTTTCACCAAATTTCACAGCTAAGGTTTAATATCATAACGGACCTGTACCGGGCTCCGGAACCAAAATATGGGCCCGATACCAACAAGATCAAATCCTTTAAATTATTACATTTTCAGTCTAATCAATCTTCTTCAAAAATTTATTTCTCGGGTTAGGGACCTCAGAATTCGATTCTGGGCATACGCCCAGGTCCCATATTTTACTACGGACCCTCCGGGACTGTCGGAACATGGGTCCGGGTCCGTTTACCCAAAACGTTGACCAAAGTCAACAAAAATTATCTTTTTAAGCCAAAAATCATCTTTTCTTAAATTTTTCACATAAGGGCTTTCCAGATACACGTCCGGACTGCACACGCAAATCGAAGAGAAATAAAATGAGATTTTCAAGGCCTCGGAATACGAAATCGGATTCTAAACAAAAGAAGACCCCTTGGGTCATCACACTGTCAAAAGATTTCCATCACAATTTCGACTTTTTTTTTGGTAGTGTAAAGTGAACCAGCTTGAATACCCGTTGAATTATTTACAAGTAAGACTTTTGACCATTTTAATATGTTCTCTAAGTAGGTTTAGAATACAGTGAATTTGTATAATATAAAATGATGAACATTTTCGATTCTATCTGAATATGCATAGTTCATTTCACCTTTTTTAAACTTGAAATATACCTGTCTTCTTATTTTCGGCAAGCTAACAAGTTATTAAAATGTCGCTCCTAATTAACTTGTTGGGAATTCAGTTGAAGTTGTTTATCTATTTTTTTGGAAGCCAAATAAAAAAAGAAGAGTCCCAAAAAGCTATATTTATATTCAATGTATTATTAAAAGGAGAAAAAAAGCATCCACATTGAGCGAAGTGGCAGTCTTACAATAGGCTACTTGGCAATTCAGGTTAGGATAAATAATAATTACAAGTTTTTATTTGAATTTAATTTTTTTTTAAAATATTCATCATGTGATGTTAATAATTAGTTACTCTTTTTGAATTGAAACATACTTAACTTTTTTTTTTTTACGAAAACAATAATTTTTATATATTTAAAATTATTTCTATTTTACGCTCAATGCCATTTTTAAAGTTTGACACTCAGAATCATCTTGTTACAGCTAATGTAGCTATACAAAATTTCATCGATGACATTATTTTACCGATAAGGAATTCAACTATTATGCTAATGAAGACATTACTGCAGAGATTGAGGAAGGATATGGGCCTTCTGGTATTCCTTTAGAAATGCAAGGCAAGTCTTCTACTAATATATGGAGGCGTTGTGTGATAGAATTAGAGATGAAACTGTTGAGATATTATAGTGTGAGTGACTTTGATTATTATTTAATGTTTTTTTTAACTTCACCAGGGAAAATATATTATAAAAACTACGGAATATTGTTTGTTACATCACCAGAGATACTACATGTCCTAAGGACATGAATATTGTCCAAGTTAGCAAGCTTACAACATACTACAACACTTAATTTTTTAATAAAATAAATATAGCCAGTCCTATCTGTTTCCAGCTTATTTATCACATAAGGAGGCGGCCTTTCTAGTAGTAGATGTTCCTTCAGAAGATTGAGAGCTTCCTTAGCCAGCTTATGGGCTACTTTGTTTCCTTCTCTGACGTTATGTTGGATTGATGGTTGCTTCAGCTGGAACATTAACCACCTACAAAAGCAAACAATCTTGTCATGAGATTCACATCCACATTGTAAAGCTTTGATTACCTCTGTTACATCTGTTTCTATGATCAGTGGAGTAAATCCCTTGGCCATTGCTACGTTGAGGCCTTCTTTGAGTGCTTCTAATTCTGTTTGTAGGGATGATATGGCTGGGCAGTGATGTTGTAACCCTGCTATCCACCTAATCCCCATAAGTATTCTTTTTTCTCTAGAGGCACCATCAATATTAAGCTTGTAAAAACCTTTGTGGGGTTTGTGTCATGCAATGTTGATTGCATGGGAATGAATAGTAGTTAGTTCTTTTTACGTTAGCAACTTGTACTCAACCGCTAAAGCAGTAAAGTTATTAAGATTGAAATTGTAAGTGGTGTTGTCATGACTGTTTTTATTACGGTTGAGCCAAATGCTCCATAGAATAAAAGGGTATAATTCAACCCATGAGAGGTTGTGGAATAAGCTGGGAGTAGTTATGTCCTTTATATTAGTGAGCCAGTGTGAAGTGTTATGATGGGGAGCGATCTTATAATCTATCATATCCCAGAATTGGAGAAATGCATCACATCTAATAAAAATGTGGTTGATAGATTCATTTTCTTTTTTGCAAACATGGCAAATGGGGTCTATATTAATATCTATATAGTGAAGGTAGGATCGACTAGGAAGTTTATTGTGAAGACATTTCCACCGAAAAAACATAATCTTATTGGGGCATCGAAGATCCCATATCCAGCTAAAGTCAGTGTTATTGATAGAATGTATGGGTCCACCAACTTCTATAGAGAACCAGGTTCTCTATCAGGTTAAACAGTTACACACACACAGAACAGAAGTTAAATGACAGGAGGAATTTTACGTGAAAAATTCCCAGCTCAACGGGATTAAAAACCACGACCTACCCTTGTTGGATTTCAATTTCACTACTGAGCAACTTTCAGATTACAACCTATGCAACTTAGAAATTAAAATCTTAATCCCTCACTAACTTGTAATACACCTATTACAAGCCACATTGCAATAATTCTATTACAAAGACTTTGAAACTTGACTAACTCTAGTCAAGACTTAAACATGAAGGTTTAAGGTTTACAAAGATGTTCCTATAAAGTGCTTCTAATAAGCTGGATAGGAATTACAATTTGAAGAGCTATTACAAATTTACAACTCAACTAAGGATACATAATAACTCGATGTGGGAACTGGTTCGTAGTTGCTTTGTTCTTTATTTTTGAGGCACTTGAAACTTGCTAGCTGAATAGTCATGTAAGTGAGCTTGAGTAAGTTCTCTAAGTGTTCAGGTAATTTGTTTTACCTCCCTTGAATGCATATATACATGTGTGACATCACTAAGAATGATGCAATCAAGGTAGGTAAAAAGTCTTCTATGGAAAGTTGACTGCAACACTGTTCTGCACAGTAGCGTGTGCATGCAGCAACTTTCTAGCTGCAGAGTTGACCTTGTACAGTGTCCTCGAGAACTGGTAGGGACCTGGTCCCTCAGCTATTCCTTCCACTCTGAGGAGTTGAATCATATTCCACGCTGAGTCCCAACCTGGAATCTTGTGAACTTGAGGTCTTGTAAATATGTAACAAGTTCTTTATCTGGTTCTGGATAGTAAGTTTGTTAGATCATCAAAACATAAAGTAAAGTACTTATTACCAAAGTACATGTAACCTATCAATTTCCCCATTTTCGATGATAACAAACTTATAATTGAAAATACTAGAAGGAGCCACAAAGGAACCAGATTGCGAACCAGAAGGACCTAAAGTTCCCCATGAAACTATGTCCTTCTGCAACTATGCATTCCCCCTTTGTCAGTACCTAAACTTTTATGAGTTTATTTTGTATATTCAATTAAATCATCTTTCCCCTTTTGGCATCATAAAAAGGACAGAACAGGTTAGCAGCATAAAGAAGTCTAGCATAGTTAACTCATGCCACTTATGTGCTCACAACATCATAAAAGATAGAAGTAAAGGAGCAACAACGTAGATAGCAAAAGGGAAACCACTTTCATTAACCAGAATTGGACTATTACAGGCAGGAGCAAAGTCATTATTTTTCATCCACAGTCTAGAACAAACAAGACATACCAAAAATAACAAAACATCACTAACAACAACTTAAAAAGATATACACTAGAAAACTGGACACTAAGGGGACATTCTTTAAGGGACACTGGAGGAAGGGGGCTTGGAAGAGGAAGCAAGTTTTTGGAGGACAAGATCCATGCGAGCACTCGCGGACAGTTGCTCATTGAGCAGTCTTTCTTTCAGGTCCTCCACCTGTTTCCTTAGACCACCATTCTTCTTTGATAGGCGTGCAACCTCTGCGCTGTGAGAACCAGTGGAACCAGGTACCTCTTGCAACTGACTAAGCTGATTCTCAAGAATCGCGTTCATGCCTTCAACTTCCGGATCTCCTCTGTGGCACTATTCTGAGCATTTATCAGTTGAGAAATTGTGGAAGTGCTTCCAAATCCTCCGACTTTGTCAATACACTCACACTCCTCCAAAGTAGTTTTTGAAAAACATTGCTTTTTGGTGCCCACTTTGGCCTGACCCAGAGGTTAAAAAACTCAAAGACCTTTGTGAGGAGGAACCCATAAGGTAGTCCTGGATTCCCGTCTTTGAGGTTCTCTACCTTCTGCATATGCTCAATCATTATGGCAGGAAAATTGAGGGAGGAGAAATTGTCCACAGTCTCTATAAGGAATAGGTCAGCTTTGGATGCAACAGATCTTCTTTCAGCACGGGGAAGCAATACTTTGTTAACCATCTCAGATAAACTGGAAGGAGTGCCTTCTTATGCACATGTTCCCCATGATGTACTGCTTTGTACTTGACAATAGCATTTCTGACGTTTGGCGTGCAAGCACCCTGAGCAGATGACACTCCTTCGGTAGGAACACCCAGAATTGACCCCAATAAGGCAGAGTCCATCACTATGTCCACCCCATTTACCAGCACACAAATTTGGTCACCATCTACTGTGAAGAGGCTGGTGTAGAAACTTCGCACCTCGTCCTCATACATTATAGGAGCCTCACTTGTAAACAAATTCGTCCACTGTTGAGAATCACAAAAATCCACTAGTTGTCTCATTGCAGCACTCTCTAGAATGACGGAGGCAAATGTGTGGCCCCACAACACTTTCTTATTCCCCAGCTTCCTTTTCTCAGACCTCAGAGTTTCACTTATTTTTCCTTTCTTGACGGAACCAGCTTCCTTATCATCATCATCCCTCTTTCTTTTCACCGACTTCCCAACAGGCTTTTCTCCACTGACTTGCTCTATCTATGCTCACCAGATTTCTCCACTTCTTCCTCATCAGACTTGTCACCACGCTCTTTCACTGTCTTGTCACCAAAACTTTTTTCCAACTTTTTACTGGAACCAGTAACATCACTCTTGGAAGAACATTCAGCACCCTTATAGGTGTGCTTTTGGGATTGAGAAAGAGAGTGCTTCTTCCTTGAAGACTTGCGGGACAGGGAACTAGGTTCCTCTTTGGTTTCCTCATCCACATCCACTACAGGAACATCCTCTACTTGTACCACTTTTCCATCTTTGACCAACCTTCTCCTTCTTCTACTCTTTTTACTCTTCTTGAGGGTAAACTCTAGAGCCTCCTTTTGCTGCAACCGAGTAGTAGGTCGCTTAGGAGGTGGCTCTAAAGTTACCACTGGCTTAGTCCTATCCCTGATGAAACTAGCATACACCAAATCATTTGCGTTTTCTTCGCTGTCAGGATTTGTCTCAGGCACCACCATATTCAAAGGCTCAGCATCAAAGTGAGGAGAGGGAGCAAGATCAACACTGACCTGGTCAGATGACTCCTGACCTGGAATCTCCATGGAGGGATCAGGTTCATTATTTGGGTCCCAAGTAGCCTCATCTTGTGCCGACTGTTCAAATGGTACAATTTCTCCCTCTTTTTCTGTTCCTTCCCCCTGTGGCTCAAACCCTCCTGCACATTTTTCTATAATGACCCCTTCTGACGTAATGGGCAACGTATTCTCTATTTCCTCCTTTTCTTGTGGTTCCATGGCAATTTCAACAGACGAAGGAGTGATGCCTTCAGATTCATCACTTGTCCAGGAGATCTCTGTCTCTTCATTACTAGTCACCCGTTCTTCACTTAAGTGCTCTGCCATGGATAGAGTAGAAGGTTCCTGAACGAGGTTCCCTTGTTCACCCTGTTGACTCTGTTCGACTGGTGAGACTGGAGGAGGACATACATATTCAGACTTGCTTAGAGGAGGAGTGGACTCAGAGAGGGTAGGAAAGGGAGTGGAGTGTGGAGGAGACTCTTCTTTAGGGTTTGGAGAGAGGTTCACCGCTAAACTTCTCACTTGTGAGGACTCAGTCACAGTGTTATCAAGCATACTAACAGTTGCTTGACTTTTAGAAATGATGAGATTATTCTCGAAGGACTGTGGATTTGATAGGAGAGAAGACAAACAGGGAATTTTGAGTTTGGAGAAAGGGTTGTGATGTTGATTTAATTATGATGAGGGACCCGTTCTGAAACGGCGACACCCTTTTGCTTGGGAGATGTATCATTTAGAGAACTGAATGACGTTTGGGTTGTGACGTATTGGATGAAAAGACATGACTTTAAAGAGACTGTCACGCTGATGATGATGTGGCATTGTTTTTTGTTCATTTTAAATTGTGTATGAAAGAACAAAGAGACCACTAACCTGCGTTAGAGAACTAGGTTCCCTGATAGGTCTGGCAAGTGAGTTTTATCCCCTTATTCATCATGCACTGCAGCATCTGCTTCTATAGTCATCATGCGTGTCTACCTGTAACGGTATAGAGGTGAGTTAGACTTAGCCAGAAAACACTTTAGCTAGCTTTTTCCTGACTATGACTTTCATAACCAATAATGAGGAACCAGGTTCTCAGTTGTGTTTCATCATCCCTAGTGAAATGCGATCTTTCTCATAATGATTTCTTCCCGGGGCTTTTGATGAAGATGTCTACAACTTGATCTTCAGCAATCACAGTATTTGGCCCTCTTGAGTTGGACTCAAGTTCTTCCAATTGGTTGCTTGGTCCATGGCACTTTGTTGCTTAGTCCATAGTACTTGACCATATCAGAATGTTGATTATACATATTCTGCTTCAGCTGTTGAGAGTGCCATTGAATTCTGCTTCCTTGAGCCTTATGAGACAAGATAGGAACTCAGAGACTGTCCCAATTCAGGCGAGCTTTTCCTATCCATTTACTTGGAGCACAGTGGAAAGCCAGGTTCTGTGTTCTTCTAAGATACCTCAAGATACTTACACCATCCTTCAGATGAAAGTACTTTGGATTTGACTGAGACCTTGCACAGAACTAAACTTTGACCATGCTGTCTAGTCTACTTGCACTGAGATACAGGGGTGATTCAGTGATGTCTCTATGCAACAGATTTCTTTCCAACAACTTGTTTTTCAACTTCTGTTGTTGTAGACGCGGGACCTGGTTCCGTGCTGGAATCAATGGGCGTTCTCTACCTTGATCGGTATTTCTGTTCTCTTTTGAGACGAGTATGTCAAGAGGATTCCTCCATCTCTTCTATCATCAGATTTTCAAGGCTGACTTTCCCATTGTTGAGGACATAACAATTATACCCAGATTTTCTCACTTGAGTCAGCAGCTTTGGTCAAGATGTTTGCAAACTCTTCATCAATTAATATTGACCGTGCCCATATTTTCAAGAGTCCTGTTCTTCTTTTCAACAATTCTATCTGAGGTGGTGTACTTTGAGCTAAGTCGTTGAGTATTTCTTCTTTCAACATAGCATTCATCCACTTATGGCATTATCGAAACCTGTTCTATGATTTAGTCTGATGCAAGCCGCGTTTGTTTCTATTGGTACCTGGATCTTCTTGACAGAGACACAGTTTCTTGAAATATCTCATCCTTGGTTCTAAAGTTTTGTCTTCCCCCTTTTTGGGCTTGAATAAAGATCTAAAATGCTTTTCTTTTGCACAGATATTGCACACTTTATAATACTTGTTATCAACTTGATCTGACCACGAACCAGGTTCTTCAGATCCAGTTTGTTTAGAGATAGACAACATGCAATGCTCCAGACTTTTGTCCCATGATTCAGTATTGTTTTCAATAGCTTCCAACCAACTTACGTCTCCACTCTACAGAAGCTCAATCACAGCAACATACGTACTCTTGTGTCTTTTGGCTACAACAACACCTTACCAGTCACATGATTTGAGATTGTGAATATCCTGGACAAGCATTCCACCTTATTTCCTTTAACACAAATTTTCTAACTCCTAGAGCCTACCACCTTTTTAACCATTTTCAAAAAAAGGTACACCCTCTCCTTGCAGGGCTCTTTACACAGCAAAGAAATTGGTTACTTAGTTAGGACTTTCATCAGAGAGGATTGACTGTTATGAGAAAGGTTGCATGTTATTCTATAAGGATGATGCAGCCTTAGAAAATTGGAAATTTTGTAACCAACCTCGTTACAAAAAAGTCATAAATTCAAAAAAGAAGAAGGTTCCAGTTAAGGCGATGCATTACTTACCCCTTATACCTAGGTTAAAGAGGTTGTATGCATCAATGAGCTTTGCTCCTCATATGAGATGGCACCATGAAAATAGAAGGCCACCTGGTATTCTGTGTCATCCGTCAGATGGATAAGCATGGAAGTATTTTGATAGGGTATTTCCGAATTTTGCTAGTGAACCAAGAAACATTAGGTTGGGTTTATGTGCAGACGGATTCACTCCTTTTTCTATCTCTGCTGCACCATATTCATGTTGGCCAGTGTTTGTTACGCCGTATAATCTATCTCATGAGTTGTGTATGACAAGTCCATATTTGTTCTTAACTTGCATTGTTCCAGGTCCGCGCAATCCAAAAAGTTTGATTGATGTATACATGCAACCTTTAATTGATGAGTTAAAGTTATTGTGGCATGAAGGTGTGGAAACATATGATATATCAACTAAACAAAACTTCAGATTGCGTGCTGCTTTGATGTGGACTATAAATGATTTTTCTGCTTATGGAAGGTTGTCCGGGTGGTCGACTGCAGGAAAGTTAGCTTGCCCAACTTTTATGGAAGACACAAAAGCATTCACATTAAAACATGGAGGAAAGAATATATGATTTGACTGCCACTATCGATTCTTGCCTATGGATCACGAGTTTAGGAGAAATACTAGTGCATTTATGAAGAACCAAACTGATTTTGAGGAGCCACCGTCACCATTGTTGCCAGAAGAAATTTGTAACAGAGTTAGGTTTCTACCAAGGGTAACAGAGTCTCCAATGTCTAATAAGATACCTGGTTATGGTGATACGCATAGTTGGAATGAACAGAGCATATTTTAGGAGTTACCTTATTGGAAGCATAATCTTCTTCGGCATAATTTGGAGGTCATGCATATCGAGAAAAACTTTTTTAACAACTTGTTTAATACAACAATGGATGTCAATAACAAGACAAAAGACAACTTGAAGGCTAGGATGGACTTAAAGGAATATTGTAGGCGAAGTGAGTTGTACCTGACATACTTGAACAACAAGATTCAGAAGCCCGCCAGTTACACATTCACTTTGGATGAGAGAAGAGAGATTTGTGATTAGGTTAAGAATTTGAGGATTCCTGATGGATATGCATCAAACTTATCCAGGTGTGTTGACATGAAAGAAGTGAAATTGACGTCTACGAAGAGCCACGATTGTCACATTTTCCTCGAATCTTTGATGCCTATTGCACTCAAAGCCTTGCCTGATAGAATATGGAAATCCATTACTGAGATAAGTTTTTAAGAAGTTGTGTTCTAGCACAATGAAGGTGGATAACTTAGCTTACATGGAGAGTAACATTTGCTTAACTTCAAACAAGCTGGAAAATTTTTTTCCCTTTGGGATTTTTGATGTAACGGAACATCTTCCAATTCATCTTGCATAAGAGGCACGACTTGGAGGGCCTGTACAATGTAGATGGATGTATCCTAACGAGAGGTAATGACTTTAAATTGTTTTTCCTTGACTTGTTTTAATTAAACATTATTTCATCTAAAAATTGTGCTATGTAGGACTATTGGAAAATGTAAGATGACCGTAAAAAACATCCAGGATTGAGGGATCAATATGCGAGGCACATCTGGCTAAAGAAACCTCTTTTTCCTGTTCATATTATTTTGAACATGATGTGCCATGTTTGAGAAATAAGCCAAATCAGCATGATGATGGAAGTGTTAATGATCCTTTGGCACCACCATTTTCCATATTCAATCAACCAGGTAGAGGTCCAAAAACTAGTAAAAACCGAAATTTGACTAAGATGGAGAAAAAGTCCGCTACAGCACATGTATTGTTGAATTGTCCATAGGTCCCACTTTATTATAAGCAAGTCTTAATTTATACTAAAGGCGATTATTACAAGATCAAAGTTATTTTAACTAATAAAAGTTATAATTTTGTCGGGCAGTTACTTTATAGGTGTAAATGGGCATGATGCTATTTATCCAAGATTTTCAGAGTGGTTTAAGGAGTTTGTAAGTTCTATTTTGTGGCTACAAATTAAGTACATGTATCTTTAAAATTCTAACTTTTCTTTAACTTTTTGTAGGTTCATAATCTAATGAATGGAATTAATGATTCATTTTGCGTGATATAGCTTGGGGACCTGACCAGAATGATGTCTAAGTACTTTGTCAATGTGTACAAGTTTCATACAGAAGAATGGTCTAAGAATAAGAAAACCAATAATAGTGGGATGTGAGTAAAGGGTGATGGAGATGTTGATTATTATTGTGTGCTCCAAGAGATTTTAGAACTAGAGTATTTCGGTTGGCCGGAAAAAGAATTGGTACTCTTTCAATGTAAGTGGTATGATCCAACACCTACTAGAGGTACAAAGGTTCACCCTCAGTATAAAATAGTTGAAATTAACCACACTAAGGAGTATGAATTCTATGATCAATTTATCATTGCACAAAATGTGAAACAAGTGTATTATGTTCCTTATCCTTTGTGCAAGAATAAGACACATGGTGGATAGTTACAAAAACAAAGCCCGTATGTAGAGTAGAAGTTGAGAATGCATTAGAAGTCGCGTACCAGAATGACATTTCGAGTGTTCAAGAAAGGGTTGATGATGAATTAGTGGGTGAATTGCAGCATAGTTGTCACACCCCGAACCTGGGCCTGGACGTAACGCGGCACTCGGTGCCTAACTACATGTGACCAAGCGAACCAACTGGCTGGCTGAATCAACATGTGATATCATAACATACTGAAAGCGGAAGATAAACTAACACATGCTGATATACTGAAAGTCTGGATGATATAAATCAAAGTGTGGAAATACTAAAACAAGTCTGAAACATATATGTAGCCAACACTGCTTAA